GCCCCTGTCAGCCCTGGCTCAGTGAGGTGCAGGGGGTGCTGCAGGGGAGGCTGTTCTGGGCCTGTCTCTGTGCTCAGGGTCCCCACTCAGTGGTGGGTGCTCGAGAAATGCAGCTTTAAGTCTGGATTAAGACATTTTACTTCTCAAAGAGCTCTCCCCGAGCCCCAGGGAGCACTCTCTGTCCTGGTTTGCAGGTGTCAAGGCATGGAGAGGGATTTGGGGTCTGAGCCTTGCCCTGCTGGGACAGAAATGACCTCACATTTCCCGTGGAGCCTGAGCCTCCCTCAGAGGCGTTTTGGGAGAAGAGCTTTAGGCACTGTGAGCCTGGCAAGCAGCTGGTGGATAGTTAAGCAGCGATATTCTGCAGCTTTTTCCCCCTCACAGCAATGACCAGCAGGGATTGCAAAGACCTTCCCACACCGTGACCTCTCTGGGGCACAGCTCTGTGTCCTCCAGAAGGGCACATCTGCTCAGCCCATTTTCCCTGGTGGATGCCCAGATCCAGGAGTTTCTAACCAGGCAGCTGAGTGACCACCCTGATTCTCAGACAGAGATTGGGACTCTGAAAATCGGGCACATTTTGTGGGCCCCAAAGTTGAGGCTTTTAGCTTCGAGATGATTGAAGCAGATACCAGCCCTCCAGTGTTGATGCCACTCCACAAATGTCCTGTAAGAAACACAGGAAAGCACAAAGGACTGTTGCAGCTTCTGAGGAAACCTCTTTTATTTCCAGTAAAATTGGCAGTTTTTAAGTGACCACTCTAATTCTTAAGCCATTAGAAATGTAAACATTGATTTAAGATTTATATTTAACAGACATCTGTAGAAAAATTTATATTCTGTATGGGCTAGCAATGCCTTCAATATCTATGAAGTTAAAAACTCTTAGATGAAGACTGCAAGAGGCTGAGAGGAAGATGGAATGTGGGAAGGGGGACATCCATGTGCTGCTGTAACAGGGAATACCAGGGAGGATAAAGCTCTGGGAAAACCTCCAGGAGAACAGCTGGGCATACTGGACCATTGGGGTCCAAAGGTGGAGATGCAGAGGTAGCAAACATTGGTTCCTTACTGTTTTATAAAGATACTGAAGATAAAAAGCAGCACTTTTAAAAAATACATCTTCTGTTTCAGTGTTCATTTTATCCCAGTGTTTGGTTTTGCTTTATTTCACTCAATACCTCAAAAGTTCAAGGAATCCACCACCTTTAAAGCCAAACTGGGAAAACTGAGCCTGGATTCTCAGTGCAGCTCCCAGGCTTGCAGATCAGCCCTCTCCCAGGAATACTGCACTGTTTGGAAAAGGAGAGAAGGGCCTTTAAATGAAATCTGGGCTGTAGCACTGGGATGTGATGGTGCTGCTGGAGATCAACAGCCATCAATCTGTGTTACTTAATTTGTCCCTGGCTCAGCTGTTCGCTGTACTTGGGACTTTTTTGCTGTTTGTTCCATTTTATTTTCCACCGAGATAAATGAAGACAAAAAGAAGGGGCCAATTGTTCTTGACAAATAGAAGTAATTTAAAAGAATATATAACCATGAAAGATATTCTACATTTTCAAACCACTTTTTTTTTTGTTTTTTCCCTTCCCCTGACTTTCAGAGAATCACGGTTAATTTATTTCCCTGTGTGTGTATTGAACACCCCCTGATTTCATTGCTGGTTTCAGGTCGACTTCATGAGCGCTCTTTAAACTCTGTGAGAAATTCACTTGGAATGAATGGTTGGGTTTTTTCTTTTAACTAAATATTTAGAAGCATGTTGTTGCCCACTTGGGCGTGGCTGGGTTGGTTTATTTATCCTGGGTGTTGTGGGGACAGGAGGCCGTTGTGGCTCTCCAGGTGTCTGAGGAAGAACGCGTTGCAGTTGTTTTTTGTGTGGCACACGGGGTGGGTGGGTGCATGGCTGTGTGTGAGCTCACTTCAAACTCACTTGGCTTCTCAGGAGTTGAGTTTTTTTCATGTGTGTCAGCTCCTTTCTCTTCTGGAGGAATGTCTGTGGAGGCATCTCGGGGATATTCACGGGGTAGGGAATATAAATATATATAAAAATAAATGCACTGTTCAGTCAGGAGCAAACAACTCCCCACCCAGCTTCAGCAGTTTTAACCTTCCACTGAGGACTGGGATCAGCAGAGGGGATGTCAGAGCCTGCCTGCCTTCCCTGGCCATCCCTCCTGGAGCTCTGGGATGGTGGGATCAGGGCAGAGGGTTGAGCAGCCAAATGCACAGAGTGGCTCCTCCTGACTTTCCTTGTTTACCGTGTTTTAATGGAGAGGGTTCAGAGAAAGCTGCCCCAGGAGGATCTCTCAGCTTGCAGGACGTTGTTTTGTGTTGAAATACTTCAGTGGCCCAGGATTTTGCTCTCAAATCCTGCCAACACCAACTTGCTTTTGGCAGGCAGTGCTGTTGGAACATCAGCCATCCCCTGTCCGGGCTGGCAGGGCTTGGAAGAGCAGCCCAGGGCTTGGGCATTGTGAGGAGCACGAGGCTTTCAGGGGGCTTGAGTCTGGATTAATAACTTCAAGGGCCAACTGTTCAAAGGGCTGCCTTCCAAATTTACACTGGTAGTTGAGTACAAGTACGAAATTATGGGCAGAAAATCACAGATAATCTTTTTCCAAGCTGACCTTCCTGAAAAGGAGCCAGCAATTTTCTGGGTTTGGGCACCGGATCAGCAATGTTTTTAGGTGTTGTTAATGTAATATTTTCATTATATTTCTTCTGGACTATTGATTAACTCTTCAATTATTTAAGAAAAGGCAATTCAGTGTGGTAGTGAATAACAGCTCTTTGGGTTGGTAGTTGTGCTTTGCACGGGGGGCTCCTGGAGTTTGTGTAACAAAATCCTGTGTCTGCATCTCCTTGTGTGTGTTGGTGGTGATCTCACAGAGTGGATGGGAAATGCCAGACATGTTTGCACGTTGTTGCTTTGGTATCTCTTCACCTCTCAGTTTGTGCTGAGCTGATTTTCAAAGCACCTGGCAGGGTGACCTGTGCTCTTCCCCTGTGGAAGATACTGAGGCTTTGGGAATGTGTGTGTCCTAAATTCCACCTGAGGTTCCAAAGCCTGCTGCTGTTGGTGGCTGTGGCTGAGGGCTCAGTGCTGACCTGCAGAAAACACAGGATGCAGAATTCTGGTGGAATTTAAACCACCTCAGCCCAACCCACTCTGCTAAACCAGCACCAGGGCTTAAATCTTTGCCAGTGTGATTAAACACACACTCTTGTCTTGATAAACATATTTCATTAGCCACAACTAAAGGAATTGCCCAGATTCCTTGCCTAGTGACATGTCTCTGGTATTTTGACCCACTTTTCCACTGAGGTCACTGAAGGAACAATCCTGAGCTTCAAAAAACAACGTTTGATAGATTGAGGAGCTCTGACTTCATTATTTCTTCCTGCTTTGCCCTAGCCCAGCTCCCAGTGACTCCAGAAGTCAGCCTGGGAGGGTGTTCCCACCACAGCTCTCCATGGAACTGGAACAGTGTTCACTGCAGCCATTGCACCTCACACTGGTGTATTTTAGAGCTTAGAAAGTTAAAGCAACAGAAGAGATTTGGATGTTCAGATCCCACTGAAATCAGCCCCTCACCCAGTTATGGAAAACGGAGCAATCATGGCTCAGAGAGTGGGAGGGGGGGTCGTGAGGGCTCTGCAGCAGTTGGGACTCTGGTGTGCTCTTTGTACCTGATGTCTTCCCTCTAAACTGGGCAGCTCTCTGACTTTTGCTCTTGTTCTTTCCTTTCCCAAGCCATGTTAATGACATGTTAATTCTTGTCTCCTGCCTCCCTCACTAATTGTGTGAGGTGCCAGTGGAGGGAACCCAGAGCACAGTCTGGTGTTTCTGCTCCTTCTTCCAGCACTTGGATTTCTCTGTGCTCAGATGATAAGAATCACACTGTCAGCCCTTTTGTATTCTGTACCTGAGCCTTCCTGGAAGTGTTTATCTGTTTAAAACAGCTTTAAATTTTCATTAAAAAACAAACAAAACCACAGCCTGTCATTGGCAATATTTCTGTTGGTCACGACAACAACTTTTAGAGGTGACTGGTGAGGTCGAATGGATCTGTTCTTGACTGCCCAGATTAAAACAAGCTGTCCTTAGCAGGTATCCCGAGCTCTGCTTTTTATGCAGCCCTTTCATGGTATCTCAAGTTATTAATCATAAATGGAGGCATCCAAAAAACCCCCGCTCAGTTTTGAAACTCGTGGCCTCATTTAGCTTTCCTAACAGCTTGTTTCGAGCAAAACCTGATGTGGAGCCAAATGAAGTGTGTGTTTAAATGATCCCTTGCCTAAACTATCATGAAAATTTCAGATGGGATGAGAAGGAGGAATGGCACCGAGGGCAGCTTGTTGGAAGCTTGCTACTACTTAGAGATTAAAATCCTGGAATCAGCAAACCCTCCGTCACTTTAATGCTTCTCCAGTGAAATCCAACTTTTTGTTTCCTGGTGTAACTGTTCTCTTGTATTTTCCTCCATTGCTCACACCCAAATACTTGCACCCTTTCTAATTTTGGTGCACATTTGGTAGACACTGTAATTAAGAACAGAAAATTATTTATCTCGATAAATATAACACGTTTATGAAGAATCAGTGTGGGTTTGTTAAGACTTCCTAAGTTGTTAAAGCCCTTTGAAGTACCTATGAAGCATCAAGAAGATGCTGTTACATTTCCAGAAGGCTTTTGTAAGGTCTTTCATCAAACTTCCTGAAAGAAATGAAACTTTCCTGTTGGGATGTTACACAGGGAAAAGTCCTTACAAAGTAAACAAATCGTTGTGGGAAATGATAGAGAACCAATTTCTGGAGGTGTAAATTGGATGTGTTTCTATCACTGGTCACTTTACCTGGAAGCAGGATAGTGCTGTTGGGTGTGATTTGGCACAATGACATTGGGATATCTGATTATTTGCAATGATTTATCTCCATTCTGCCTCGGTTTGTTCCCGCTCCCTCTGACCGGTGTGCTCTGTTCTCCTGATTCCCAGGGCCCTGCAGCATCCAGAGAGCTTTCCCCTGCTCCCCTGGGCACGTGCTGGGTGTCTCCATGTGCTGGGAGGCTGTAAAAACAGGATCCACTGGGAATTCTTAGCACTTGGAGGTAAGACTTTTACCATGACTCCTTGCTGAATGCACTTGGATAGTGGTGGGCAAAACTCAGGCAGGGTTAATTGACTGCCCAGGCATTTGGACATCTTCAAAAGCACCCAGGGATTTGAGGATATGGCCTGCTGGTGAAAGCCACTGCTGGGAATGCTGTCCCTGTTTGCAGCTGCACACTAAATGAGGGTTTTCTGCCTGGCTTAGAGCTCACTTCACCCCAAATTGAGAGAAAAGCTTTCAATTGGGAACTCTGTCATGGGCTGGAAACTCAGTTTGAGTTTCCTGTCAAAGTCACCTTCTGAAATATTTTATGACAGAGATGTCAAAATGAAATGTTTCACCACTTCTGGCCCTGAACAGGAAAGTCTCTAATGGTCATTTTTAGTTACATTTTCCAGCCTGTCAGCCAGGGAAGCAGAGGAGAAATTCAACCTGTGGTTTTGGTTTGCCTTTTTTCTTTTTCCCCTCAGCCACATAAAGTACTCAAAAATGTGACCAAAACCAGGTCCTCAACACCCAGAAAAAGCTTTATAGGTTATTTATTTCACCCAGCAAGGATTCTTTGGGGTCTTATTTTCTTTGCACATGGGGCCACATGGTTGTCTGATTTAAAGGATCATCTGCATCTCCTGGTCTCTCTGCAAACCCCTGCACAGTTTCCTCAGCAAAAGTGTTTGTAAAAGTGACTCCACAGACAAATAAATTAATGATTTGCCATCTACTAGATTTCCTATAGTTAAGATGTGAGGCTTTTTTTTTTTTTGTGATAGAACCAGTGACCTGTGTCAGTATTGTAAGTGAAATAGTGACATTTATTCAGAAAGGAGCCAGGTATGAGGAAATGGCTTTAATGAGCAGCAGATACCTGATGAGTGCTAATTAACAGAGAGTGAGACACTTGTGAAAGAACACCAGGTTGTATTTTGGATTGAAAGACTCCCTTCCTTGCTAAGCTGCACCTAAATTGACTCCTTTCACTCCTGAAAAGGAAAATTAACCCTGGAGAGACACAAAGTCAGAGTCCCCGTGGGGATTGCACAGAGGACCTTCGTGCCACTTATTTTGGTTGCCTGTGCTGGGAGAGGGGCAGGCACTGGAAAAGTTGATTTAATTTGGCTGTATCTTGATGGAACTCCAGGCATTGTCCCCCTGGAAGGCTGGTTGGTGCTGCTGCTTGGAGAACATGACCCAGAGCAGCAATTCAGTGTGTGCTGTGGTGAGAAAGGAAAGCTGCAAACCGAGTTTTAGGTGTCATTACTGGGCTCTTTTTTTTGATGTTGGTTTTTAATAAATGTGCTCCTATTTTTAGAGTTTTATTCTGACTCTTGTAATAGCAACCATTCCATTTTGGTGAGAGGGCTTTTCTATTAACAGTGATCAAAGTGAAATATTTCACTGGAGGTACAAAAAGAGACACTTGAGATGAATGAGGTCCTGCTGGATTTGGGGAGTTGGATGGTTCTGATCTGTGATCTGACTTACAAATTTAGGAAATTATTGGCACAAAGCATCTCCCTTAGAAACAGATAACAAAATGGCATTAGCATTAAAAGTTTAGAAAACAATTTGGAACCTGTTTCAGATACATTGCAAAAAAAATATGCCAGGTGCTATTAAGGCTTATAAATAATTCTGTGGTGTTTGTTTGATTTAAAAACTAAACTGACACATCATTTTCTTAAGAACAAATTGAGGTCTCTGAGAAGTACAGAATTCAAATATGTGGCTGCTTTAGTGAAATGTGAGAGGTTCCATTCTCTTCAGAGTGAGTGAGGCAGCAGGACTCTATTCTCATTTATTTTTATTTTTTTAGGGACTGCTTTAATATAAAGGTTATATAAAATTGAATATAAAACCCCAGTAATTTTCAGCAGGAATGGATGGTCTTAAGAGCATCTTTCTTAGCATCCAGTGGATTATAAGCAAATCCTTCTGGAAAGTTTGCTTTCTCCTGGACTCAAGGGCACTACCTTCAATTGCTACTGAAGGAGAAGAAATTGGAGTGGGGGAGAAGTTTGATTTCTACTTGGAATTAATTCTTATTTACCTTCCCGTTGCTGATAGCTGATGGAATGCGAAGAGCGGGCGATAAATTACCTGTTTCAAGTCAGGTTGTCTTTCCTCCTGTAATTAATTCAGCACCACCCCAGGCTGCTGAGGCTCTCAGGAAGTGAAGCTGAGCCCAGAACTGAGCTTTGATTTAACCCCCCTCTCTGAAGATTTGCTTTTGCTTGAGCAGGGTTGCCTTGAGGTGAACTTTCCTGTCCCCCATTGGCTCAGCCCTGGCTGTACCAAAGGTGTGGAGAAGGAAGAAAGGGGGTAAATTAAAACTTATAACACAGTGCTCAGTTAAACCTGTCCCCTGGACTTTGGCATGACTCAGATGGTGGCAGTGGAATAGCTGAAGGCATCTCTGGAAGATATTTGTGTTAAAGGGTTGTCTCTCACCCTGAGGAGCCTCAAAAATCCAGCTCTGCTCTCCAGCAAGCTCTGGGTGTTGGAACATTGCCTTTGGTGGACTTGTGTCCAGTGGGCTCTTGCAGATCAACCCTTCAGGACACTCCTTCTCCATGGAGGAGCAGTTCCCAGGACAAAGGGAGGGAATGGCTTTTCCATAAACACCCCCTCGCCTGGTCAGCCCTCTGGATTTCCAGAGGGAGCTTCTGCATTGTTCCAGGGGGTTTGGGAACAGCCCTCAGGTAAAGAATGGTCACTGCTGGACTTAAATCCACTTCAGGAGAAGCATTAACATTAAATCATGTTAATTAACATTAATAGGACTTACATGGCTTAAGAGCCATCTCTGGGTTTAGCAGAGCTCGAGGAATAATTTGAAGGATGAACTTTTGCTCCCCCTGGGATTCTGACTCCAAATTCACAAGGGGTGTCCTTGAAGTGGCTCAGAAGGCTTTGAGTCAGGAGGTGATTTCAGAGCAGCTTTCCTGGCTCTTCATTCTGCTTTGTGATGGCCTCTTTATGCCGGGCTGGATATCAGTGCCCTGCAGAGCAAACCTCTTAACATCCCTGTGCTGCTCTGGACCACGAGGCAATGAGCCATGTGGGGTTTTTTTTTGATGATCATGTGAACATTCAGGCTATTTTTAGGGCAATCTCCTTGCCAGGAATAATTTCTAGGACTTCAGATTTGAATGGTGAATGATGTGTCCACGTTAAATGCCTGAAGTGGAGATTTAAAAATACTTTTCCCTGACTGGATGTTTTACAGATTAACACCTCTGATGCTGTTACATTTAAAAGCAGCTCTGTCTTTCCCATGGATTTTGTATTTTTGACTGATGTCACTGGAGACTTATGGGCAAACACCACAACCTTGGTTTCAAAGCCCCAAGCAGGTGTAAGCCGGTACATTTAGCAGATGAACAGTGAGATGATGAAGAGACCACACCTGATGAGTTTGATACAGTGACTTTTCAGCTTCAATGCAAATATTTTTATGTCCTGTTCAGTGCTCTGCATAATGGGCCCCAATGCATTGACCTCTGTAATTTTAAGTGATTCCCCAATCTAAGACCTGAAAAGGGCATTGACTTCCCTTCCATCCTGCAACAAGCCTGTTCTATTGACACCTGTAAACCCCATTTAAATAAATCAAAGGGGGCACTTGGGTGTTCTTCCCCTTGCCTATAGCTCGATGGAAGAATGGATTGTTTTAATAGTGATTTATTTGTCAGCACAGACAGCCAGTCATAAAAACAATCAGGATCAGGAATGTTCTGTGGAGGAATCATTGGGGCTGTCAATATCTTGGGTAGCTTAATCATCAAATTCATTGGGTTTATGAGGTGTATGAAATGTATAAATTCCTTTTGGAATGGATTTGAACTTTTTAAAAATTATATATTTTTTAGTTGATCGCTCTTCCGAGTGTTTCAGTTTGTGAATAACTCCCCAGGATTTGGATTGGCACAAAAGGAAGGAGGGAAAGGCTGAGGAGGATGTTTTCTTCAAAATTGGCTTTAATGGCTGTACTTTCTTTTTTTTTTTAATCTAGATACAACAATGGTGGCACACACCCTGTTCCAGTGGGTTCTAAAAGGGCTTATCCTGACTTTCCTGCTCAAAACTACTCTGTCCCTAAATCCAGACGATCCAAACGTTTGTAGTCATTGGGAAAGGTAAGATGTAACCTGCCAATATTTTAATTTTTTTTTTTTGCTGGCCATTTCAGATTTTGACATTTCAGAGGCAACCTGAGAGCCACCCTTTGCTAAATACCCCCTTGTCTCGGGAAAGAACGTGGATTTGCCTTACAGGAATTGCACTTTGGAGTGCCTTGGAGGTTTTGGAGCATCCCAAAGGCTGCAGCTGTAGAAGATGTATCCCTGTGTTGTGTCCTTTGGGAAGCTCCTCAGTGGTTCGAGCTGGAGGAGTCACAGAATTGTTTGCATTTACTATGGAGAGACCTACAGGAATGCTGACCTTGTTCTGCCTTGCTTCTGGCTGGTTCTTGTTGAGCCAGACTTAGAGATTTGGGCTGAGTTTGAAGCCCTTCCTGCTGCAGCATTTGGGCTGTTTCTGGGTGACCTGAACTTGGTAGCCCTGCCTTCCAAACTCGTGTCAGCATCAAAAAGCTCATGAAATCCCTGAGCATTAAAGGCCCTTACAGGCAATTCTTGTTCTCTCCATTGTTCCAGTGTCCTAAAAGTGGCTCAGAGCAGGACAGTTCTGTGGGCACAGAGAGCCCTGAGCTGGGAGGGGGTTCAGGTTCCTGCAGAGCTCACAGGTCCTGCCCTGCTCACTTTAACTTGCTCAGTTTCCACTCCTGGTAATTCTGCTCAAATCTGAACTGCTGGGCACTTCAGCCAAACAAACCCCTTAACAAGAGCAAAAATAGAACCATATTGTAATGACACTGGGGTTTGAGGCCTTAATTAGAGAATTAACTGTTTGTAGTTAATGCAGGTGTGAAGCAGAGGCTGGGCAGGATTTGTTGCTTTGTAGCCTGTGTGGGGAGGTGAAGTGCATTCAGAGCACAGGGATAAAATATTGATTTTGTCTGAAGAAAGCCAGCAACCTCGGGACCCAATCAAGGAGAAACAAAAATTAAATACCAAAATTGATTGGCTGCACTGACCAAGATGACTTTGTTAGTTAGGTGTTAATAAATCAAAGGGGAAAAGATTGTTAGGGCTGTTGCTGGATAATAAACGGGATTGTGAAATAATAATGAAGATTTGGGAGTGGTTTACATTAATAAAGGGCAATGTAAATATTTTACTTTTTGGTATTAAAGAAGTAAAAGCATTGTTGTCAAAACTGTGATAGAGGGCAAAGGAACCTCTGGGGTTGGCTTGTCTAGAAGGGACACGACAGGCAGGGCAGGAACAGCCCAATCTGCCATTTCAAGCCAATCAGACCCTCCAAGCAAATATTTTGGGTCTCACAGGGTTTAACCTCATCAGCAGAGGAGAAGGAAACCACCTGGAGGATTAAGACAATCCATATAATGAGTGACCCAGAGGATCTAATTCCAATATTTGAAGTAATGGTGCTGCTTCATCACAGAATGAAGTGGGAGCATCCCATCCTGCTGGCAGAGTGCTGAGGGAATGGGAGCCCTTATTGCTGTGGGGAACACAAGAAAAAAATGAAGTCCCAGGCAGGAAGGCAGCTGAGACATTGTGAAAACACAGTGCTTTCCTCTCGTTCCAAATTTGCACTAATAAATTAACCAAATGCACTTTTCACCTTTGAAACTTCCACGAATTTTAGTAACATTTATTTCTTTTCCAAAAGGGGAAAGAAACTTGTTTCAATGCTCAATTTGATAACAGTTCCCACTTCCAGACTTTTCAGGAAGAGCTGTATTTGAAGGAAGCCCTTTCCTGCTCTTTGATAGTGACCAAAGTTTCTAAGATATCTGCTGTAATTATTTTTCCTGCTGGAGCTTGATGAGCAGCCTGTGCAGGGAACTGAACCTTTCTTTCTGTGTCCTTTGCCAGCTATGCTGTGACAGTGCAGGAATCTTATGCTCACCCCTTTGATCAGATCTACTACACACGATGCACAGACATCCTCAACTGGTTCAAGTGCACCAGGCACAGGTAAGAGCTCACCTGCAGAAATCCAGACACTGGAGTGTCATTTTGCCCCTTTTTATCTCCTCACATCCCTCTTATCTACCCAAATGTTTGTGCTACTCTGACATAGGTATAGGAAGATGGTTTTAGTGCAGGGTGTTTGGAATTCCAGGGCACTGATGAAGCAGAGAGATTATTGCATGAAATTTGGGTGAGATCAGTGGTAGTCGGTCCCTCCTGGGGCCACCCAGGATTATTTCTCCTTGCCATGTGATTGGAAGGGTTTATCACCCGACCAAACATGAGCAACTCTCCTTTCCAAGTGGTCAGTGCATGCCCAGGTTTGTGGTAGGAACTCCCTGCACCTCCTGAATCGTGAAGGATCAGGCACTTGAGAATTAGTGCTAATTAAAAACGGATCCATATCTGAAATAACTGCACCCAAATCTGCTCTGAAAATCAGATGAAATGAGGATGGACCCATTTCTAGCACTGATTGAAGGCTGCAGGGTTATGGCTGTTATACCCATTCTGATTCCCAAGTATCCTAGTAAACATCCACTGATGTGGGATTTTTTAGAAGGGAGTTTTAGAAGCCAGTTGGTCTCTTAACTTTCATGCATTCAGTTGCAAATGGACTGTTCAGCACCTTCCCACTGACTGTGGGGTTGTAGCTTCTGTGTTCCAGTGTTTAAAGCTGAGCCAGGCTGCAGAGCTTCCTGGGATATTCACAGATTGGAATGCAGCAGCGTGAATTCCATCCGTTTATCTAACACGGGGGGACAATGGGTTTTGTTCAATTTAGGTAATTTCCATAAACTAACACGAGCAGAGCTGTTTTGAAATGTTTGCTGTAAAATATGCAGTTAAATATAACTTTTGTAATGTGATGTCACTGCTAATGCTGTGAATCGGTGTGGAGGAGCCGCAGAATGCTGAACACCTTTGAGTTTGTGGGGCCTGCAGCCTCGTGGTGGGGAAAAACTGGGACTACAGTGTTGCTTTACAAGGCATAAGTTCCTTGTGGAAGGATTGGCAAGCAGGACCAAACCACTTGGGGTTAACTTGCCAGGTTGTGTCCTGAGAGCAGTTCCCAGTGTGGTGATTTTGCTGCAGCAGCTGCCACGGTGGTCTCTGCAGGAGATCCCGCTCGTTCCATGGGTGATGGCTGACCTTGCTGATGGGCTCAAACAAATCATTCATTCTTGAAGAAGCTCCTTGCCCTTGCAGTAGGACTGGGAAGGTGTTTTAAGGAAGCAGCAGCCCCAGGAAGAGCTGCAGTGATTGACTGTCACAAGCACTGTGTTCATAACACAAGTGATATTTCAAGTTTCCAAACAAGCATCGATTCCTTTTTTTATCGGGGCTTTTAATATCAAAAGCCTTCGTGCGTTAAAAAATAATTATTGAACGCTCTCCTTACCATAATTTAACACCGATATAATTGCAAGGGGAGGCATTGATTTTCAATGGTGTCAAATGGCTTTGTGTCCTGTGATTTAGGATCAGTTATAAAACAGCCTATCGGAGGGGGCTGAGGACGATGTACCGGCGGAGATCCCAGTGCTGCCCGGGATACTACGAGAGTGGAGACTACTGCATCCGTATGTACACCCCCCTGCTGCAGGGGGCAGCTGGAGGGAGCTGGGGAGGGGCTGCAGGCAGCTGAAAGGTGTCCTGCTGCCATCCTGGCCTGGCTCAGGAAGATGTGGCAGCAGGAGCAGGGCAGGGGTTGTGTCCCTGCGCTCAGCGCTGGGGAGGCCACGCCTCGAGTGCTGTGTCCGATTCTGAGCCCTCACTTTGGGAAGGACATGGAGGGGCTGGAGCAGGTCCAGAGAAGGGACTGGAGCACAAGTGCTGTGAGGAGCAGCTGAGGGAGCTGGGGGGGCTCAACCTGGAGAAGAGGAGGCTCAGGGGAGACCTCATCCCTCTCCACAACTCCCTGACACGAGGATGTAGCCATGTGAGGGTTGGTCTCTTCTCCCAGGCAATCAGCAATAGGACACAAGGGCACAGCCTTGAGCTGCACCAGGGCAGGTTTAGGTTGGACATCAGGAAGGAATTCTTCACAGAAAGAGTGATCAAACATTGGAACAGGGCTGCCCAGGGAGGGGGTGGAGTCACCAAGACAAGACTGGCTGTGGCATCAGTGCCATGGGCTGGGTGCCAAGGTGGGGTTGGGTCATAGAATGGACTCGATGATCTCAGAGGTCTTTTCTAGCCCAGCTGATTGTGTGATTCTGTTAAGGGCTGGTTTTCAGAACCTCCAGGTCCCCCTGATTTCAGTCAGAATTGCAGATACCGAACATTTCAGGTCAGCTCAGGTATGTGCATTTCAAGTGCCTGAGTAAATTTTGCTGAAATCACCGGGGAGGGAGTTAATGAAGTTCCTCGGTGCTTTCCTGAATCTGAGCTTACTGTGGGGAGTAATTAATGCAAGCATCCACTAATGTTAAATTAGGGGAACTGAGAACACTTAGGAATAAACTGTGGCACAGCTTAAGCAGCAGTGGAAAGTTTGTGCCTCTTACCTTTGAAACTTCCTACTCAGGTAAGAGCAGTTAAAATCTCATTGGTTTTCCATGGTTCCTGTCAATAAGGTAACTTTTTGAGGGGGACAAAAATCAAAATGGATCTTTCAGCAATTAGCCTGTTAATTAAAAATGCCCTGCCCATTAATGCCACATGTTTTCAGTACTGCAGAATCCTGAGTGTTCTGCACGTGCCACACTTTGCTCCAAAGGAGAGTAGAGCTGGGATCTCTTGTCCAGATCTTGTGTCGTGGGATTAGGACACAAGAAAAACACGAGGGGGTTTTGATCAGCCTCAGAATCCAATTTTTATTGGGAGATTTAGAATGCCGTGGAATAATTTAAATATGAAAATGGTACAACTATCCAGCTCAGTTTAAGTATCTTGACATTGTGTTTTGCAGCTGCTTCCTTCTAGTTCTGTTGATGTTTTTATCTGAGTTCCTGTGTTGGACTTGCATTGTAATATATGAGCAGCTCAGAAACATGAATGGACCCTGATCTCATTTTAAATGACCTTTATGCCCAACAGTTACATTAAAGGGGCTTTGGACTGTGAAAAATCACCAGCCCTTTGAGATAAGGCACTGGAATTATTTTACAGAAAGAGTAATAATCTGCTCTTTTGAAGTGCAAAGTGCTGTTACTCAAGTCCTGAAAAACATTTATAGTAACCCATTGTCTTTGGTGAAACCCTCCCTGTGTTGTGTACTCACCTCTGAATTCTCAGGTGTCAATACCATTTCAGCAGTTGTTCCACGCACTTTTATTAATAACAGTCTAGAATTCCGTGACTCAGAATCCTGTCTGGCACAGAGCATATTTATTATGACTTTTCTCTCTGCAATCTATTGATTTTTATTTTTTTTATTTTTTAATTGCCATACTGCTTGCAACAATAAATCTCTACAGAGATTTATTACTTGAGGATTCTGATTATTTGAGGGCATTAACATTTGTTTTAAAGTGTGGTGGTTTTTTTTATTGTTGGTGTTAATACTCAGTGTTCTGCTGCTGCCAGGTAAATTTTGTCTTTCTATGGTGGAGAAGGAGCAGCAGACAGCAAAGTTTTGCTAATGCAGAGCAGGCAGCAGGTATCTGGTCAGAGCAGGAGCTTCACGTTTGACACAGTGCAGATAACAGTGACATTTTCTCTGCTGTTTACATGTGCAGCACTCAGGTCCTTGTGTTTCATTATCTGCATGGTCAGCACTGCACAGTTCCTGCCCCAGGGACATCTGCGCTCTCTCCTCCCTGGAGATGGGAGCAGCAAGTGCAGCTGAGGGAGAAATGATGGCAGGGGAGAAGTTCTCCATCATGATGGATCCCAGAGAATTGCTCTCATTGTTTTGATACCACACAGCAAAAAAACCAAACGAAAAACCCAAACAAACAAACCAACCCAAAAAAACCAACCCAAAACAAACAGAAAACCTCCTTGAAACTCTCTGACCCCCCAAGCACCAGTTTGGAGGCACAGCAGTGTTTAGCTGATGGGATCCTTTCTGTGTCACCCCATTTGTTTGGAACACGTGGAGCCCTGATCCCATTTGTTTTGCTTTGTTTTGCCACAATACCTTCCTGTGCCAACAAGCAAATTCCCTCATTCATCATTCTTTGCAGTCTGCACTGAATCCCATTTTCATTCCTGGAGGCACCTCCCTGCTTTTGCCTTTCTCCTTCCCTGTCCCAGTTCTTTTCTCTGCTCTGGTGTTTTCTGCTGTTCCCTGACAAGATAGTCCTGCTCTCCTGTCCCACATCCCTCCAGACACAGCCAGTGCTGCTCCTTTAATTGCAGCTGCTCCCAGAGAGGTCAGGACACAGAATTCCACTTCCCTGAGCTGTCCCTGGCAGGAAGGGAGGGCAGGGAAGCTCCAGCCCTGCAGAGAAGGTTCTCCCCACCAGCCAACCCTTTCAAATCCATTCCATTAGCAACCATGGAAGCCACTACAACGTGGGGAGGAGGGAAACATCCTGCAGTGAGCCTGATGATCAAAAGAAAGTTTGATTAAAAAACAGTGTGTAGATTAAAGGCTAATTGGTTCTTCTTTCATTAATAGCGGTCTTTATTTCTTGCAAAAGTTAAATAGCTTTGTAATTAACAGTGACATGTTTAGACGAGAGGAGGCTGAGTTTAAATCTCTATTAATGACTGTTTCTTGGGTTTTAAAGCAGGAGTGAAGGCTTTCAGCTACTGTTTTGATCTTTTCCCTTCTCATTTACTCATTTTTAAAGGGATGTCAGATATATGGCTTTATCTTTGCCCTCCTGTTGGGACTTACTAAATGGATTAGGTCTAATAAAATCTCTGCTCAGTTCTAAATAACCAAGTAGACCCAGAGCTTCTTTCTCTGCCACTTCTCTGCTGTCTTCTTTGCCTTCCTGAGATCTGTGTGTTCTGCTGCCCCATCAGATGTGGAATCCAGGCCCAAAGTCCACATGGCCAGCCCATCAGCACTTAGGCTCAGCAGTCTTGGGGTGTGAAATTGTGCCTCCAAAGGGCTTGGAATATTTTTTGAGTTGCAATGGCATGGAGAGAAAACCCCAACTGAAAAATGCTGCAAATGCACATCTGCATTTTCCTCCCCCTCCGCCCATCTCTGAGAAAAGGTTGTTGCCATTGTGGGAGCTCTGCAAAAACGATTCCCCTTCTCTGAGTGTTCTTCCACTTGACAGAGCTTTTCCCTGAGCTGTCCCCGAAAACAAACAGCCCAGTGTGGGCAGTAAATCAGAGCAGTGATGATTTACTGTACTTTGTATGCTAAGGTAAGCTTCTGGCAGAGCAAATGCATAAACTGCAGAAAATCTTTTTTTGAACAACTACAGGGTTCAAGTGCCCTTCAAGGTTTTATTGTAAAGATGTTTTAAAATTGTATTGCCTAGATTAGTATCTGTGGTAGATAAAGCATCTCTGAATACCGTGCTGCTCAAAAAAAAAAAGAATATTACATGGCTTTTCCATGCTTTTTAACCTGAGAGGAGCTGGTAATTGAATAGTTGCCTTTAAGAGTATGTCAGGTGGAAAGATGCCCCGTGTGCTAAATGGAGGCATCTTTGTCTGAGAGACCAAGGCTTTGTTCAGCCTGTCCATTTTCATCTTACTCTTGCACAACAGATTTGTGCAGAAGGGATGTTTCTTGTGGGTAACAAAGGGTCAGAGACCTGAGCATCAGCTGGGGCTGCAAACAGCAGCTTCTGACAGCTGACCTGGGGCAGCCAAACCCAGCCACCAAACACAGACTTGGGCTCTTTGAGCTTTTTAAGTGGTTTTTTTCCACTCTCCTACCTTACACTCTTTTTCTAATGTCTAAGTCTATGCAATGTGACAGGAGGTAATAATGACAGGATTAGTGATTTAACAATCTGATTTGCTGCCATTGAGCTGTCATTCAAACCTGCCAGAATCCAGTAGAGTTATGGATTGACCATTTCATGGTTCTTTCCTTTCTTGGGCAAGATATTATTGATCTCAGATTGTTTCTCAACGCTCAGCTCTCCACGTCACAAGTGCCACGAGCACCAGCAGGGCCCCTTGACTTTGACAAATCCTTCTGCAGAGGAATTGTTGGTCCCACTGGTTGGATCTGTGTGTCACCCACAGAGGTGTTTCGCTCAGGCCAGGGGCTGGGAACACTATTATGTTTATATATGTTTATTATGCTTGTATATATTCATTTACCCATTTTTTTAAGCTCACCTTTAATGAATTTCAAAAGCAAATGAGGAATGTGCTTTCAGTAGCTGACTTGAGGGAATTATGCAAATTTGGGAGCGGATTGTTTTCAGGGTTTTAAATAATGTTTCCTAAATTCTGTAAGTCCAATAGCCATGCCAACTTCCCAGTGTGATGGATCCTTTTATAGTGCAGCCATATGAGCATCCCTACCTCAGGACTGCACTGCCATTTACAGGGCTGTGTGTCTGTGGAGTTCTTGTAATCTTTGACAAGGCTGCCTTATTGGAGCCATATGGCTGGATTGTTAAACATCTGTACCATAGGAGTAACAATTCCAGAGCTTCCTGCCATCTGGATGAGTTACAGCTCCTGCCATTGGATGCATATGTTGCAGCAC